TTCATAAGGAGTGCTGTTTGTTTTCTTGTGGGGTATTCTGTTAAGAACATAATTAGCAGACAATATTGCTTCCCTCCACAAGTTCTGTGGTAAGTCTGAACTTAGTAACATGGCATTCATAATTTCTTTTAGATTCTATTCTTCCTTTCAGCAATTCCATTTTGCTGTGGAGAATAAGGTGCTATAATTTGGTGAATAATGCCATGTTGTGCACAAAATTCATTTAATGGTGCATCATATTCACCACCCCTATCACTTCTAACCATTTTAATGGTTTTACCAAGTTATTTTTCAACTTCTGTTTTGTAGAGTTTAAACATTTCTAAGGCTTTATCTTTACTTCTAAGTAAATAAGCATAATAATATCTTGTGCAATCATCGATAAATGTTATGAAATACTTTTTGCCTCCTCTAGTTTGAACAAATTTAAGATCACATACGTTTGTATGAATTAATTCTAGAGGTTCAGTTTTCCTTTCAACCGACTTAAATGGAGCCTTAGTTAGTTTTGCTTCTACACAAATTTCACATTTATGATTAGGATTAATTTAAAACGTTGATATATAATCTAAACCAATTAATCTACGCAAAGCATCAAAATTCACATGTCCTAATCTACTAAGCCATAAATTTGACTCAAGAATATAAGCAAAACATGTGTTATTCTTATTCATAGCAACTTTTGGTACAATTGTCATTACATTTAATTTGAAGAGACCATCACTCATGTATCTCTTACCAACATACATAACACTCTTTGATAATACAAATTTATTAGACTCAAATACAAGCCTAAAATCATTTTTACTTAGCAAAGAGCTAGAAACCAAAATCTTCCGGATGTCCGGTACATGCAGTATGTTGTTGAGAGTCAGTTCATTCCCTAATGTCATCTTCAAGATCACATTTCCTTGTCCAGCCACAGTAGAAGTAGAAGTAGAAGAATTTCTCATGAAAAGTTGTTCACCATTTGCAGCCTTATTGTAAGCAGTGAACATCTTCTTGTCCGCACAAATATGACGAGTTGCCTTAGTGTCAACTCACCATTCCTTTGGATTTTCAACCAAATTAGCCTTAGACACCACATCAGAGAGGTTGATGTCATTCACTCTGTCAGAGATGTAATCTAGTTCAGTTACATTGGCCTGATTGGTAGTCTTCTTGCTTGTACTTCCGCGATCCTTCTTAGGGCCGCAGCAGACAGAAGCTCCATGTCCAGTCTTGCCACAATTATAACATTTTCTTTTGAACTTCTTGTTGCCATTGTTGTCGTCTTGTTTAGGATCATTTCCAGTAAACTTCTTCTTTGTGTTATGTAGTTTGTGAACTTGTTCAACCACATTAGCCTTGGACTCAATGAGATTTTTTTCATTCCTCTTTTCAGCCTTACGATTATCTTTCTCAATTCTCAGTCTTACAATAAGTTCATTCATGGTCATCTCTTTGCGTTTATGTTTTAAATAATTTTTGAAATCTTTCCAAGCCGGTGGTAACTTTTCCACTAAAGCAGCGACTTGGAAAGACTCGCTCAGAGACATACCCTCAGAATGAATATCATGTAAAATTAATTGAAAACTTTGAACTTGAGAAATTACCGTTTGAGAGTCTACCATAACGAAGTCCAGAAATTTATCGATAACAAATTTCTTCGTGCCGACATCCTCTATTTTGTATTTCTTCTCCAAAGAGTCCCATAATTCTTTTGCTGTTTTCAGAGGACTGTAAACATTATATAACTTTGTTGTCAAAGGCCATTAAGGAATGTAATTTCTGCACAGGAAATCTGAATGTTTCCAAGCATCTGCAGCCGGTAACAACTTGCGATCACTTTCACCCATCTTTAATGTTGGAGCCTCTTCACGGAGAAATCGGCAATTTAGAGGTTGTAAGATAGAAAGTTCTGCTGCCATTCTAAACCCAGTACCGTTTTAAATTTTTTTCGATTTTCTTCATGATTTATTGCGAATTGAAACATGGTTCTGGATAGGGACCGGAGTGGTGTACAATTGGGCAGAAGTACCACTCCAGTTGCAATTCAGTTGCAGTAACCTAATAATTTGATTTACAAAAATGAAAAAACAAACCACAAATTAATTTTCTTGTTACTAAAAACCCAGAAAATTAAATTTTAGAACACAGAAATCAATTTTATTTTCTTTATTACCAAAACTTAGAAAAATAAAATACAACATAATTTTCTTGTAACACCAAATAAGATTTTGCAATTGTTAATGACATCAGTAATTATACTAGTTGTCAAAGAAAATAGACAGTATATTACTACTATCTGTCAAATAGTTTATAAATACTATTTGTATTTTCCAACCAGAATATTGCTTTGAAAATACAGAAAATTAAATACAATGAAGACATCAAATATAGTCTGTCTTAAGATTGTTGGACAATCTTCACTGTATTTAAATAAATTAAATTTTGTTGTGTACTTAACAACAACTAGAATATAAAAGAAATAAAGAAAATAAGAGAAATTGTTTGATTACAAAAATCAAAACTAGAAATAAACAATAAATAAATAAAAACAGATTTTATTTTGTTACAAAAATAAAATTAAAATCTAATTTCAATAAACAAATAAAACAAAAAATTAATTAACTTATTTGATTAAGTTCTTCGAATAATAATCTGATCAAGTCCAGTGCTCGACATTGTGTCCTTAAGACAGATTCGTCCTCTCCACGGTGCTTTCAGAATATGGATGTCTATCTCCCAAGATGAAATGATCAACAACGAAAAATAGCAGCACTACAAATTTTCCGTACAACGAACACACTAAGTGTTTATACTCTCTCTCACAAGAAAATAATGTAGCAATATGAAGAGAATAGATGCAGAATTATTTTGGACGAAAATTAGTTAGTGAAACATCAAATGGGGGTTGTCCATTTATAGGAGAATTTATGGCTGTTGAGTTTGAATTAAATAGGTGCAGAACCTGTTTGAACATGTATGATACCTGTTCAGCTTGAACAAACAGATACAAATCTGTTGGATTCAAATTTGAACAGATAAAAAAAATCGTAGGGACCTGTTTGGGTGTAAGGAAAAACCAGAACAGTTTAATTTCGGAATTAATTTCAATTTCGGACAGTTGGACAAATTTTATTTTAAAAAATAAAATTAAATCCAAATGTTTTTGGCCCAAAAATATTAGTATTGAGCCAGATAAGCCCAACCCAACCTCACACAACACACCCAAGCCCAACCCACCTCTCTCTCTACAAAACTTGGGTACCCTTTGGGGCACATCCCAAGTTCCAATCCCATGCCTTATAAACCCACTCAAAACTTCCCACCAAATCAATGTGGGACAAGCCATTATACACACCTTAAGGATTTTCTACCAAAACTCAATTTCCATGGAGTACATTTTGGCTTCAATTTTCCATTCACTCGATAATGGTTTTGAACAACCAAATATACCACGTGAATCACAACGCGGCATAGAACACGTTACCACTTTGACCCGCGAAAATCGATGCACGGGTCCCACCTAAATATTAGACCAAAGTTTAATAAAAATTCTATTTTTACTCAGAATTTTCAAAACATTTTAAACAAAAATCTCATATTAAAATAATTGAAAAAATGGTAAAGATCACTTTATAATTGTTTCCTCATTAATCACTTATTTTCTAATGATAAAAAATTTAAGCGTAAATTACACTACTTCCTTTGATATTTGAAAAAAAAAGTACAACAAATTTCATAACTTTGAAATAATTAAATTAGGTTCCTTTAAGGTTTTAATTTACATAACACTTTAATCTTCTTTTTTTATTCAATAATTTCATATTGTCTACATTAGTTCTAACTACTAAAAGAGATATCAGTGTAATTATACAAAAACTGTTAAGCATGTTATATTTTTCTTCAAAATTCAAGAGAAGTCCGTATAATTATATCCAAAATTTAAGTCTTGTTTGGGAATTGATTAAAATAGTCAAAAAAATTAAAAAATCATCACAAGTTATCACATCATCTCAAATTTTTTTCATACGTCTTTTTATATAAAAATTAAAAAATCAACTAAAATATTTAATCTCCAAACATGCCCTTAAAAAAACAAAAAAAATGTCCTCTAATTTAATCCACCATCACAGTGTAAAGCAATAATAATAAATTAGTGAGGGTGTTTTGGAAGTTAGATTGGTGACTTTTTTTTTTTTTTTTTTTTTGGAACCCAACACCTTGTATTTCATTAAAAATATATTTATTACTCAAACAATATATATATAATGATATTAAATTTTTTATTATTTGTTTTTATTATTAGTTATCTGAATTACACACACATCACATGTGCCACCAGCTAGTTCAAATTATATTGATTTTTTTTTTCATAACCATCAAATTAACTTTTTTTTAATTATTGTTGTACACACAATTTTTTAGATTTTTTTTAAGATCTTTGATATTAAGGTTTTATAAAATAAAAGACATATAATATTTTCATAATAACTAAGGTCTTTCATTATTTTCATAAAAAAAAATTGATTAAGAGAAATTTTACCCGATTCAGAGAAAATTGCCTAACTCAGAGAAATTTCAATTTTTATATACTAAAGAAATTTTGAAACTTTTTTGAGTCAGAGTCGAAATTTATCTAAGTCAGACAAAAAAATATTCAGAGATCATAGCTAATAAAAAAAAAATCTTAAACCTTTTATGGTGGTGTTTGGCAAGTGGGTTGGGGCTAAAATAGCCACAAAAGACAAAACAGGCTATTTTAGCCGCAACAAACAAAACATCACATCCAACCCATAATCATTATACTCTTCTCTCACAAAAAAAAGCCAAAAAACCCTTCCCAAACCAAACTTTTTAGCCCAGGCTAAAATAGCCAAAAAAACCAAAAAGTCAAAAAGCCAACCCACTTCCCAAACGGAGGCTATATTACATAAAGTCTCATGAGAATGATGTTTCAATAATTTCTCCTAATTTTTTTTAGTAGTTAGGTTAAAATAGCAAAATAAATAAATAAAAATAAATGGTGTGTTCGATTGGACCGGTTTTGTTTCACCCCGCCGCCGTTCCTCCCTCGACTGAAGAAGACCCCTATGAAATCAAAATAGCAACAAATCCCTCCTTCAGTGTTGGTATCTGCAAAACCCTCTTCCCAAAACCCTCCCGAAATCGGAATCCCTCTTTCCCCCTCTGCAAAACTCCCTTTGGGGTGGATTGGTTTCTAAATTAAAGGCCGATATTTGTTTTGTTTTGTTTTGGTTGTTGTTTTGATTCCATCTCCATGTTTGGGCACTTTCTTTGATCAATTTTTGTGGTTCAGTTACAACTTACATTTGTTCAGGTTATCCTTATTTATTATCCTAGGCTTGGAAGCAGAAGGTAATCTACTCAAAATTATGATATAGCTCTTTTTAAAAGCTCTTTTTGTGATCTTCCCTTTATGTGCAAGCAAGCTCTTGAGGTTTCAAGTTTAGATTTTAAATCCCCTTTTATTATTTTTATTATTAATTCAGAAGCTTTTTAAAGATGCAATGACCTTGGTACGTGAATGTCTGCAAATTAATTTAGTTTCTTAGCAAGAACATGCATTGAAATCAATTTCCTTATCTCACTGTGAATTGCATTTTAGAGTCTGAGTATCTATTCAAATGGAACTGATTTCCTTATGAATTTTTGGTGTTTTTTTTTTTTTTTTTTTTTTACATGGCATTTTAAAAAAAATTCATTTTAGTTATTTTCAATGGCTAGCTAAAATAAAGTGTCTTGTTGGAGTGAATACATGAAAAGTAAGTAAGCAAGATAGAGAGTGTGCTTTTGCTAGGAAAAATGCAATTGTGTGAATCATCTCCTCAAACACTATGGCTTTCTGTATCTGTGAAAAAATATATATGCAATTGTACACAAGATGTATGCGATAAATCCACCATGACAAAACTCAGCATTCTAAAACAATTTATTATTCAACTTGTTAGGCTCTTGTCTTTGCTGCAGAAGAGAGTCAAAGAATGTTTAGGCATTAAAAAAGATACAAATTATCTCACTCTTATGGCCGTAGACCGACGCAAACGACATCAAGTCTCGGCAACTCCACCTCCTCGTACCCTCAATGTGCACAAATTTGCAGAGTCCAGAGCTGCTGAACTTGAGACTCTTCACTCAATTGTTTCGAATCGTGTAAACAATGATTTTCGCTGTCAGAGAAACAAAAGGAGAAGAACTACTGGGTTCGACAACCGAGTTGCCAAAAAAAGGCACAGAAAGAGGCAGAAACTTGGAGTGGTTGGGTTGAGCAGTGCTGTGGTTTCAGAGAAAGGTCAGGAGAAGGTTCCTCGTCGTATTCGTCGGAGAAATGAACTTAGAAAGAATCCTGAGACTGGTTATTGTACTTCTGGAGATGGGACTAAGCGACTGAGAACACACGTATGGCATGCGAAGCGGTTTGCAATGACAAAGCTGTGGGGTTTCCACCTCCCTCTGGGTTTGCAGGGCAGGTAATGCGTTCTTGTTAGCATGAAAATTATGAAGTCAGATTAGAAATTTGGGAGTGTTGTCGTGCTTTCAAAGTCATGGATTGAATTTATCAAGGAATCTCATGCACTAGCTTTAGTATTGAAGACCATTTAATTGGGCTTCCTGGAATATGCATCTTAAAAAAATAAAAAATAAAAAGGTGAAAATTAGATTACCATATGCTAGGGAAGCCTCTATGGATAGTAGATCTATTACCTGAAATCTTCTTTATACATGTTTGTGAGGAAGATGAAGAATTTCTACTTATTTGTGTATATGATGTAGAGGAAGGGGTTCAAGGGCTCTCTTGAAGAGGTTCAAAGATGGAGTACTCATACATGACGCGAGTTACTATGGTGCTGTCCAATTAGAGGGTCCACAGGTTGGAGTTCCCTTTCTTCTGTAACCTGCAAGCATGTGGACTTACAATTATATTTTTTGGCTCTGGTTTTCTGTTTGTTATAATTCTAGTGACATGATGACATCTTCATTAATTACTGATTACATCATTTTCTGACTAGGGAAGTAGGTTCTTTACTCAATTGCTCTTTAGAAATCCTTAAATTCAACGTTTATGGGGTCAATAGAAGTGTTACATTGCTATCTATGTATATATATAATTTTTTGGGGGAGTAGAATCTTAACCCTGCTTGCTTTCTTATGTTATGTGCATCCAGAATTCATTATTGCAGATGCTAAGCACAGTACTTGTGCCCTCTCAATCATCTCAATCAGAAGATATTTACCTTTCTGTGCTATCTGGTGCTACCTATGGAAGTGCTATGGTGAGTGACCCCACAGTGTGTTCTCCTATGAAATTGGAATGGTGTACCAACATCTTTGTTTATATCCTTGTTTTTTACATTATCTATCACTATTTTTGTTTCTGCAGCTTCATCATGTTGGAGCTCCCGTTTCTGCTGCAGTTGCTCCTGTGACCTATATGTGGCGATCTTTCCACAATGCCAATGGATACAATGAGCCACAGGAGATTGAAGGAAGTTCTTTCTTTCGCCAGCTCTGGGTATGGATACATGCTGCAGCTTTCAGTGAAGGAGTTGATGCTTTGAAACTTGCTTGTCAAAGACAGGTGAAATATACTGGTCATTTTTCTTTTAACACCGGACTGCTGTTCTATCTAGTAGGACTTTAAGTTGTATTTCTATGGTATTCTTCGTGGTCTATATATAATAGTAGGAGGGCATTGTTGTCTAACATAGTGAGCACCTTCATTGTTAGACTATGATGCTCAAGAAACAAATGTTATTGTCAAATGTATGCCTGTAGTGCTTGCATATTCACAGTGACCAATGTCTCAATTATTCTTGTCTTAAACAGTATGAAAAAAAAAAAAAAAAAAAAAAAAAAAAAAAAGGCATCGTTTTTGGTTCTTATAGAGGTCACATGCTTTTCCTATGAAAATTACTGTGTCATTTATCTTTCAGATGGATGACACTGGTGTCTCGATCAATTGCATCTCAGTTGAGGGTAAACTAGCAAAACTGGAAGTTATGGGATCAAAGGCATTTCATCTTCTTCAAAAGATACTGCATCCTGTTACCAGGTGAATTATTCAAAACAGAACTCTTTTTTTTCCAGTAAGTGGGTTGAATGTGGGCAGACAGTGTTGACTGGCTGTGCAGTATTGCAGAAAATTGTGAGCAACTAGGTAAATGTTCGGATATGGAGGCTGACATAGAAACTCGTGTTAAGAAGTCTTCTGCAATTATTACTCTTACTGTTAGTGATCCCCGTGCTTTGCCCGAGAAAAAGGTTGAACTTGTTCCTAAAACAACTTCTACTAGTAAGTTGGGTTATAATAGAGAAGATGATGAAGGTAAAGAATTCAGTGCCTCAGGCAAGAACACAGAGTTATTCTCATCAGCAGCATTGAAACTACAAGAAGATAGTGCTCCCTCTGACAGCATGGATTTGTGGGATGCCAGCAAAGGAATTCTCCCGCCCGTGGAAGAAAATGTTCTTTGCATGGAAAAACATCAGCAACGGCTGGCTTTCTTTTGCCTTGGCAACACAAACTTAGGAAAGCAAAATGCTTCAACTGGGGAACTACGTTGTAGATTGTGCCCTATTATGCTTTTAAATCATAGTAACGAAAAGGGTTCAATTGTAAGGTAACTTTTTCCTGTTCTTCTATTTTGGTATTGATTAAGGTCAATTTAATGCTGAACGTCCCATGATTTCATTATTGGTTTACCATTTTTCCCATCATGAGTTGACCATACCATCTTTGTGAGTCTGATGTTTTTCTCCATTCTGTAAGTAATCCTTTGTGATTGGACTTCCTGTGAGCACTCTAGCAACTTTGAGACAAAATATTTGCAGACTGCCATCATACTAAAACCTTGTCCTTTTTCATTTTGATGACTGTCATGCTAATCTATTCTTAGAAATTTGAATGAAATAATCAACTAGTAATGCGTACTTTGTTGATGAAGGTACCATGGTGGGTTTTACATTTGTATCCTTCATGGACTTTTTCTTGAAAATTTGATTTGATTTGATTTTTTTTTTTTTTTTTGGGTTCTCCATAGCTTTTTGTTCAACATTAAGCATATTCATCATTGTAGTTGTTTTGGTTGTAACCTACTTATATTCTTATTGCCCTGCATTAGTTGTGAATAAAACTATAGTTGTCATCTTGTTACATAGAGGAGCTTGTTGCTCCTAATTGCAAAGCCCAGTTGATTTCAATTTGCTCTCTGTGTTTTTCTTAAAACAGTCTGACATTTTAGTGGAGTTTTCAATTTTTAGAGCTACGTATGGTAATTTTATTGCACAACTTTCTGGATAGAGCAAGCAGACTGGTTTTATATTACATCTTAATTTATTTCATTTGTTTTCTTTTTTCCTGATCTTTCAGTTTAGCTTTTTACCTAGTATCACGAAAGCAACAGACACCTTTTATTACTTATGTAACGTATCTTATTGATATAACACATATGTTCCTAATATCATTGTTCCTATAATTATCTTTCAGTTGGTCAATCATACTACCTTTAAGTTGGGTCAAAGCCTTTTGGGTCCCTCTCATCTCTGGAGGTGCTTGTGGCATTGGTTTGAGAGAGAAGCACTGGATTGCCTGTGAAGTAAGTGGGTACACCTTACTTTCAACAGTCTTCAGTGAAAAGGTTATTTATATTGCAATTTCAGTAATCTTCCTTCTGCAGGTTGGGTTACCGTGTTTTCCTTCAGCTTTTCCAGATTGTAATGCCTATTCTTGCTTTATGGCAACCAAAGCAGCCGCCTCTGATGGAAAAATGGAACTTCGTCCTCCTGCTATGAGACCAGTCAGGGTTCCCATACCTCCTCCATGGGAAAGTGTCAGATTTGCTTTGGACGAAGAATCAATTAGATTAAAAGACGCTCAACCTAATTCTGAGGAACCATGTGCTATGATGGTCGATGAAAATTCATTGACAAACTCAGGTTGTGGAAAAAATAACGTAGTAGCCCCAAACCATAGTGGGTTTTCATTTGAGGGGTTTGTAGCAAGGACATCAAACATGCTGACTCATTTTTTGAGTGAAATCCACGGTGATCATTTGCTTTTATTCCCTGATATGAAGAATAATATTGCTAAATTCATGAAGGATAAAAGCAGGCTTAGTCAATGCCCAAATGGGACCACCACTCTGATAAATAATGGCCAAAGACTATGCTTCCTCAGAGTTCTTCTGCATGCGTACAAAGGTGGTGTTTTTGACGAAGGAGCAGTTGTTTGTGCACCTCATTACTCTGACATAAACTTGTGGACATCCAGGTTTCCTTTCTATCAACTTCTGAGGACTTGTTTGTTTTGTTGAGTATTTGTTAATACCTCGTGAGCATTGGAAAATGATTTTTTGAAATTGAGAGTTGTAATCTGGTTCTCCTTAATGCAATTGTACTATATGATAATGAAATGTTTGAATGTATTCCTCCCTAATTTTGTTTATAATATAGTAGATCTTGTTTGTATTTATGGTAGATATTGTTCCCCCAAAATATTTTCTGTTTGAACATGAAAAACGTAATGTTTATTCATGAGAAATTCTCCCATGTGGTGTATTTTAGTAGTGTATTAAGGTTATTTAAGTTTGTTTTAAAATTTAATAAAACAAAATAGAACTCTGTTGTGTTGACATTCCAAGGATGGACTGCCAAGTATTAGTGATGTTAGAATACTTTCTACATCCCCAAGCTAAACAAACTTGCATGTTAATGATGCAGATCGGACAATAACAAGGAAGAACTTCACATACCTCAGTCCTTTGTGGCATCGTGCTTTGAGCAGCAACCTTCTGGTAAATGGGAGCTCCAAATACCCAAGGGCGCTGTAGCCAGAGCGTCTCATAGGTGGCCAATTGGTTTTGTCACAACTGGATTTGTCCGAGGAAGGTTAATATATGTCTCTTGTACTGCATCTTATATTGATTCATAATTCTCTGAATTGTGACGACTTTATGATCCTGAAAGTTACCCCTTTTCCTTTTTCCTTTTTCCTTTTTCTCTCTTCTTCTTCTTCTTCTTCTTCTTCTTCTTCTTCTTTTTTTTTTGGTGGAATATGTGGAGAATTATTGTTATTTAAAAATCATAAAAATGAAAACACAAAGGTGCAATGCAATTGTGGATTGTGGGATAGCAGTGGATATAAATCATCATAACTACTAGCTTATTTCCTCTTCATTTTTTGTGCAGCAAGAGGCCATCAGCAGAGGCTCTGTGTGAGGCAATCTTACTTGCTCGTCTTAGAGAAGAACAGTGGAAGGAGATGCCTGTGAAGCAGAGGAGGAAGGAGATATATGTACTTGTTAGGAATCTGAGATCTACTGCTTATAGACTTGCTCTTGCCACCATTGTCCTTGAACAACAGGAAGATGATTTGGTGTTCATGTAATCTGCTGTCTACCCTTGTAATTTTTTATGATGTGATGTGAGAGTGAGACAGGCTGCAAAATGTTGTGGCAGAAAAATTTTGTTTTTTAGTTATTGCCTTTTATTTATATATATATATACCCAAATACTAGTGATTTAGAGTCTCGAAAGAACATTTATGTTGATTTTCCTGTAACAATTTCTTTCCTTTTAAATTATGTCCCACAAAAAAGGGTGTATTTGAAGTTCTAGAGCTTGATGGTTTGTTCATCCGAAGTTCCCAACTTGCCTCATGTGCCTCGTGTCCATCGAATATTCGTGTATAATATATATAGAGGCCAGGGTCTATAGGTGCTGAGACTCTTCTTCGAATACCAAATTTTGGTTGATGTCTCTGTATTGTGGACAAGCTACGTAACTTTCTTCTCTGTTCGTTTTTTTTGGATGAGAATGAGCTGTTTGTTGGCTACATGATTGCATTGTGTGATTTTGCTATCTCATATCAATTGGATTACGTCTTGAATTTACTATATTTCAAGGTTTTTGATTATCTAATGATCGTAAATGATTGATTTTGAATAGGGAACGGAGTGACCTGTAGAAAGAAAATCATTGACCAAATTGGATAGCCCATTCTTTAATACATAATCTCTAACTCACATAAATATAAGGCTTAGCCCTTATTTGGCAATTATATGTTTTAGTCAAAAAGTTAAAAAATCTATGAGCTATCATATCACTTTTTATTTTTTTACATATCTTTTTGTAAAAAGTTAAAAAATTACTAAAATAGTTTGTTTTCAAATAAAGGTCTTAAGCTTCGTTTAGGAAGTGAGTTGGTTTTTTGACTTTTTAGCTTTTTTTTGTTATTTTAGCTTGGGTTAAAAAACTTGATTTGGGAAGGATATTTTGACATTTTGGCTTTTTTGTGAGAGAAGAGTATAATGATTATGGATTGGGTGTGATATTTTGTTTGTTCTGGTTAAAATAACCTATTTTGTCTTTTGTGGCTAAAATAGCCAAAGAATCCCATGAACCATCTTCCCAAAGGGAGCCTTAATATCCAAGCAACTTTTTAAAATGTGAAAGAAACATTGGTAATCTTTTGTTTTAAGACCATGCAATACAAATTAATAAAATCAATTTGCCCAAAAATGTTATCGCTAAATATGTTGTCTAAGAGTTTCAGCGGGGGTAAAATCGTTTCTTAGTTAAATTAGCGATATTGTTGGCTTTTTGGCTTTTCGAAGGGTATTTTTGTGAATGTGAGCGTGCCAGCAAGGATCAGTCAGTCCTTACAGAAATTATGATTGCCAACCAATTATCAGACGATTGTGTTTTAGTTCTTTTCAGCCTCAATGAAGAGGACTTTTACTGGTGGCTTGACTTAGGAGAAATTAAGAGAAATAACAGTAATATGAAGAACAATTGAAGTATTTCATAAAAATGAACACTTACAACGGTCCGAACTCAGCCTCGGAGAGGTTTACAACAGCAATCTACTTGAATCTACTTGAAGCTACTCCTATGAATCGAAGTGCAGTGCGAGTATTTAAAGTGCAGGTATTTAAAGAACAGGTATTTAAAGACTGGAAATGTAAAAATGAATTTAAAATATTGAGATTAAATTGTGCAAATTAAAATAATAAAAATTTAAGTCAAATTATAAAAATAAAAAAATATAATTTACTCTAGATGAATTTATTATTTACATAAACTTTTTAAGTGAATATAAATTCTAAACAACTTATGTTAAAGTCCTAGCATTGTATGCCTAATTAGTCATATATCCTTCGACATCTACCCTCGTATAGGTAGCGATGTAAGAAAAATAAAAAAAATCGATCAAATCGATTGAATCGGGTCAAACCGTCTATATTTGTTCTGTTTTTTAACAAGAATCGGTCTGTACGGTTTTAAAATTTGAATTTTTTCGATTTTCGGTTCGATCTCGATTTAAACACCTTGTGCACCGATCTAAACTGAAATCGACTGTTTCAACATATATTGTATTTATAATATATATATATATATATATATATATATATATAATCTAATAATCTAATGATATTAATAAGTATAATAAATTATTAACCTTATCATCTTTATAACCTAAGTTTGTAAACTCTTATTATATATAATCTTAACTCTAACTCATTATTCTTGAAACCTTAGTATTTTTAAACTTTTTTTTTGTTTTTATTTTTGTTAATTTAGGAATTAAAAAGTATGTATTAAATGGATGGAATGGATATGTTTGAAATGGTAGACAAATAACTAATTTAATATTTTTATATAAATTAATGATTATATTTAAAAGTGGCTCAAGTTTGAAAAATTCTAAACTGATTAAACCGTACAAAACCAAACTGTTTCAATTGGTTCGGTTCGGTGCGGTTTGATGTGAGAAACGGTCTGTATCGGTGTTCAAAATAATAAAACTGACATTATTGGTTCGGTGTAATTTTTCACCTAAATACCGACCATACCGAACCGATTACATCCCTACTCGCTATAACAAGTGAGGTACTGTTCATCGCTACTTGTGTGTTATCGGATGTCCGCCCAGAAGTCCAGCCAGTCAACGACAATTTTTTTTTTTTTTTAATTTCCTCCAGTTTTACCTTTACAAAGAATGTAAGAATTGTTTGACTGACAGCTCATCAATTTAATAAAAAAAAGAATAACAAATATTTTAATAGGATTAAGTTAGAATAGAAAATTTGATGCAATGGAGTGACTATCTAAAATAGAAAAATGACTTTTTATGTTATAATTTAACTAAAAATTTGAAGAGACTAGTGTGAATGCTGTAAGTTAAAATTTGCATCGCATTTTAAAGAAAAATCATGTAAAGAATGATGAGAAAATGATTCTAGACTTATGTTGGGCTTTAATGCTTTTCTTTTTGAAAATAAGTGGAAATTAATAACCTAAATGATTTAGTATGAAAGTTTTGCATTGTTATTTTGTTTCTATAAACATAAATAAAAAATAATAAAAAAAACTTAATAACTTATGGATATAAATTATTTACAAAAAAATAAATTTATTTGTTTAACTTGAAATTACTTAATCTAAATTTAATTATAGAAAAATGATGCAGACCACTAATTAGTGGTTGCACTAGGGATGTGGCACTGCCACATGTGTTTGTGTCTTAGTTTTTTTTTTTTTTTTGGCTTGCCACATCATTAGTGGTGATGTTTTAATGGTCTGTATCATTATTATTAATTATATTCAAAATACTACATAATTTTCAAGTGTACACAATTTTTTTATTAACTTTTTATAAATAAAGTTGTAAATTTTAAAATAATTTATTAAAAAAGCACAATAATTCAATTTGCTCAACCAAACAAAATTTATCTCTCTCCTTTTCTTTTTAAAAAAAAAAATATAAATATAAATATAATCGTTTTGTTTTCTGTTTTTTTATTGTGTTTTTCAATTTTCAAAATAATGAAAGAAAGAAAAAACAGGGCATAGACCAGGAACTTTGAAAAAACGGCCCTTTTCAACTGTCAGATAAAAATTAATGTGATCTTCATACGCGGAGGCAACAAATTTGAATTTCTCTTTCTCAAACCCCAAAGATTTGCAGATCTAATTCGCAGAGATTCACTTTCAGGTATGTACTCTATCGTTCGATCCAATCGTTGCTTTTTAAAACCTAATTCTCTGCCCTTTTTTGGTTTTGTTAATTTATGTATCTATGTATGTTACGAGCCTTTGGATTCTCAAACTATGGATCCTCTTGAATTGTGTTTCTTGTTCGAGGACGAAGATTCGATCCAATTTGGGCTGTTTGATTGCCTATTTGAAGAATCTTTCGAATTCTTCATTTTGTTTTTGTTTTTTTTTTTTTTTTTTTTTTGATGCTCTCGAATTCTTTATTTGACTTGCCATGAATGCGTGTGTCCTGGGTTAATTTATTCATTTGGGTTAATTTGTTAATTTCCTACTTTTTTGTGGTGTTGGCAATTGATATAATTGCAACTGCCAGGCTTTGTGAGGATCTGAGGGATATTGTAGAAGGTAGAGTGAGGTGTACGCGTCATGGCGAGGATCAAACCGCAAGCTCTGCTACAACAAAGCAAGAAGAAGAAGGGTCCTAGTCGTATCAGTGCCACTACAGTTATTTTGTACAGCTTAATTGTTGTTGTGATGGTGTTTTTCTTGTTTACTACTTACAGACATTGGTCTCAGAGGTTTGTTGAATTCTTCCTTGTCGAATTAATACTTGTTATTTTGATTATTTGGTATTCAGAGTGACTAGCATAGTACTCTGTATTTTATTTTTATTATTAATAGGAAGATCAGACTGGGAGAGAGGGAAGATCAGAGAGATCAAAGAGGACGGCTATAGTTAGGTTGTGGGCCGTAGGTGGTGGTGGCTATAGTGGGGCTTTGAATGTTGCCATATGAGCTCTCGAAGCTAGAGTTGTTTCTTGAATTGGTACCCTAGAGGATGAAGAATGATATAGTTTGGTACTTGGAGATTGGGGACACCTTGCTTGGTTTGTTTGTTGAAAGGCCACAATCAGCACCAATACTCTGAATCTCCCAACGGCAACCACCATTTCCCAACACTGGGTCTGGTTTCCAGAGAGAAAGGGATGGGATTGATACAATGAGGGGTAGGGTTTGTTACGTTTAGAGATAGGTAAGGGTTTGGCCGAAGTGGTAGTGGAGGTAAGGTGAAGTGGAGTGGAGTAAGGTGGCATGAGATGAGGTGAGGTGAGGTGAGATGAGGTGGAAATGGAAGTGGCGTGGCGATGGAGGCTAGTGGGGGCATGGAGGTAAACCATTGTAGAGAGGAAATGAGGAAGGGAAGGGTAAAATAGGTATTTTAAGAAAATTAATTGTTGACTTCAGCACAAACTGTTAGGTCAACTAATAGTGGACTAATGGAGGGTACAAACTGAAATGTGACTATAAACTTCAGGAATGGGGATGTAATTTCTAGAACCATAGGAATACTAATGTATTAGTGATAAACCTCAAGGGAGGTCAGTGTAATTTACCCTTATTAATTTAGTTACAACCCAAGCATTGAGTGGGTGACCAAGAAATTGTGTTTAATCAAGTGATTCCAAATATTTCTGGAAGTCTATTTTAGTGGAATCTATATCTAGCTAGTACCACTTGAAACAATCATTATATGATAGCCCCAAAAAAAATTTTTAAAGAAAGAAATAGAAATGTTTTATGGATTCTAACTTCTACATGCTAACTTGTGTTTAGGTCAAGAATTCAAACAGATGATCGGTTATCAAGTTTTGAGGTACAATTTTTGGATAACTTTGTTACTTGCTTTCTAGATGATTGTTGTACCTTTGGCTAGCACAAATGTTGATTACTGATTAGATAGTTGACAGGACTTCTATTTAGGGCTATAAACGAGCTGAGTGCCGAGTACTAGGTTGTTCAAACTTGGCTTGAAAATTTAACGAGTTTCATAATATGTTTAAGCTTGGCTTGTTTACCTAATGAGTCCATCTCAAATGAGTTTATAACGAGCCGAACACGAGTCGAGCTCAAGTAACTTGAGTTTTTGTAGTGTATATAAGCTTAAAGAATGAAATAGTAGGTTGGCTTGAAAACTTAACAAGCTTTATTTAAAATGTGTTCAAGCTTGGCTTGTTTACATAACAAGCCGATCTGTAACTAACTTTTAATGACCCATGAATCGAGCTCGAGTAGTTTGGTTCGTTTATCAGCCCTACTTTTATTGATAATTAATGAAAAAAAAATCATTTAATTTTTATTTGTTTGTGTTTGTGTATTTGTCTGTTATACAGTGTTAATGCTTTTAAGATCTGAACAAATTCCCTTCAAGTAACCATCACTGGTTTTTTATTTCCTTTTTCTCAATGTCTGATCCTGTATGTGCTGATCCTGTATGTGCGACAGGGTGACAATACTATTGCAGATGTGAAGAAATCTGATGTCCCAAGATATGCTGTAAGTTTCTTTATATGCTGGGCAATTATAACTAGATTTTGCTTTATTTTGAAGTTGATTGCTAGATTAATTATTGCTTTTAGATTTGTTTCTGCTATTGAGAAAGCATTTCATTTATTGGTCAGTTAGAGAACACTGCAAGCTTCAGATACCAATATGTTGCTGGGAGCTATTCTTTTGTTGATGAAGTTTCATTTAGTTCTTATTTCTTTTGTTATTGTTTTTCGCACAATGTTCCTTCTCTTGCTCTTCTGTTCAATTTCTGTTCTTTCATGTATGTGTATGTTTTGGGGGATAGGGGTTTGTTTTCCTCTTTTTTTTTCTTTTTTCTTTTTTTTTTTTTGCCCTATTATACGCTGATACACTTGTGTGTTTCCCCATTTAACAGGTTTTAAAAACCTCAAAAGGCTTAATAACAGTCGAGTTATACAAGGAAGGTTCTCCTGAGGTGGTTGATGAATTTATTGACTTGTGGTTGGTACCAGACTCAACTCTATTATTGATCCATTGTTGTGGATTCTTATTTTCACTGTTCACATTGTTGACCTTGTGGATTCTTAACTGATTACTTGTACAGTAGTTCTTCCTTGTACACACTCTATCACTTGTTTGGATCTCTAGTCATGTTAGCTGCAGTGAGATAATGGTTCAGTGTTTTTTTCCCTCCATATGCTTCTCTAACTTGCCATCATAAAATTTGGAATTTACAAATTTTTTGAACCTCAAGTTTTACCTCAAGTTAGGCAAATCTATAAATATTTTAATTTGGTTAGGCAGTAAGATTTCGCACAAATGACTAATATAATAATATTACTTCTGAATGTTTAGTATACTAATTTAAAGTTTAACAAAGTTGAAACTTTGAAGATTCATAATTTTATCCCTTGAAGTAGATTGATTTATGTAGTGTATTGGCTTTTTGCATTTTTCTTGCTAATCCAGATGGTCAACTTACATAATATCGTAAGTGTTTATAATAAATACATCTAATAGATGATTAGGGTTCACATTAGAGCATAAGTTTAGGCTAGTGGAGCATGGAAGTTCGAAGTTAATTTCACTATGTAATGGTTTATTTAGTGTAACTGATGTTGGATCAGCAAAGTTTAGGGGATTTATAAAAACCATCTGACCCTTGTAATTGTATGATCAAAACATATATTGTCTGTTATTGCTGTGACAAATTCAGATGCCATTGACTTCATCTTTGCACTACACAAGTTGTTAAAATTTTGCTCATTCTTGTTGCATCATCTCTGTGTAGTGCAGTCACTTGAAGGGGATAATTTTTCACTACAACTGAAATTGAATTTAAAATTTTCTTTTTTTTCCAGTCAGAGGGGGCACTTCAAGGGGATGCCTTTCCACCATGTAATAAAGAACTTTGTGATTCAAGGAGGTAATAGTGATCAACCTGGAGCTACAGAAGATTGGACTTTGAGAGGAAAGCATAGCAGCCAACTTGATACAAGGTTTACCATGCTGTAGACCCACTCTGTGGAGTTCTTTTTTGGTTCAGTAGAATTTAGAGAACATTTTTTATTCTATCTTGTTCACTGAATTTGTGGTTTTTATCCAGTGTGAAGCACGAGGCATTCATGCTTGGTACTTCGAAAGCAAAACATGACAAAGAAGCTTTTGAGCTTTTTATTACAACTGCACCTATCCCAGATTTAAATGAGAAGGTGATTGTGTTTGGGCGGGTCATTAGGGGAGAAGATGTTGTTCAGGTAATAAGCCTCTCTCTCTCTCTCTCTCTCTCTCATCTTGGAAAACAACTACAAACGTGTGGATACTTTTTTTTAATCATAGTTACATACTAGGAAGTAGGAATAAAAATGAGACTCTTCTTTTTGGACAAACCATGATTACATTTTCTTCTCCGACTATCATCATGAAGAATATGATGGGAATTTTTAGGATGAGATTGAGGAACTAACTGCAAGAGGGCATCTCAATTTATGCTGTTGGTAAATTGACATGGATTCATGATGTTCCAGTCAAAACGGCTGCCTTGTAGACCCCAAGAAGTGTCCAGTGAGTGGTCAGTGTTGGACATAGAAACGTACCTTAGAAGTGTCCTTTCTTCTTCGCTCATCACTATTGGACTACAAAAATAAGCTTTGATTTATTGTTAATATATAGTCAAACTGGGTTAGAAGTACTGATCATGGTAGCTTTTTAAGTCAGTTCTTCATCTATCAAATGCATTAAAAGTATTGATTATCTTAGCTTTTAGCCCAGTTTATATATTTTCAGGAGAAAAGATCTTATCTTGCTCTTAATTTTATCATTTATACGAAATGTTAATATTAGAGATCATACTCTGATCTATGTTTGAATGCATATCCTGCAATGTGCTACCAGGAAATTGAAGAGGTGGATACGGATGAACATTATCGACCTAAATCTTCAATTGGAATCATTGAGGTGACTTTGAAACAGAAGGTTTAACGGATGCTTTGCCAGTTTAAAGTTTCTTTCAATTGTGGGGTTCCCCACAGATGACAGAAGTACCAAATATCATCACCAAGCAAGCTGTTAGTTTACACGGATTTTGCAATTTTGGTTTCTGTTGCGGGGTCTTGTTCATATGGATTGTAGTCATTGGAATTAATTGGTGCAGCTTTAGTTGCTGCTTGTGATTACCTAGAAGAGCTTGCCAATCTTCTTCCTTTGTTTTTTTGTTGTTGTTATTGTTCTTGATTCAAATTTTGATGATACATACACGTTGCTTTGTACTTGACATCAAATACAATCTGTTGCTTGGGAGAATGGCTTCTAGACAAGGTAGGACCATACTTTATGTTGTTAAAACATACTGCCATTTTTGCGCCTCTCTCTCTCTCTCTCTCTCACACACACACACACACACTCACATTGAGAGATTGTTGGATAAAATTATATATATCATGAGATTATGAGGAGAAAAACTACGAGTCCAACAATAATATTATGATGAGGTAAACAGTGAAATTTACATTAATACATGTAGCAATTATTAAATTTATTAGTATATATTCTGTCACATTTTTTTCTTTTTCAATAATATTCATTAAACAACTGTTAAATAAATAGTTTTCAAATTCATCCATCTTTTTTATTCATCAAACCTCCTTAAAATATAAATGTAAAATTATTTGGCAGACTCACAGTTAGTGTTATAAAAAATCTCCTTTATTTATAGTATGATATATTATTATTATTCAATTATGTTTTCTCTTAAAACTCATATTAAAAAAAATTTACTTGGTCTACTGAAATAGAGAAACCGTGGCTCTGCTTGAATCACAATGATTGGACGATGGTCTAAATAATTGATGTTACTCTTGTCAATTAATATGTTAACTGACATACTTTCACATACCAGCAGAACCACCATTCGGATGACTTACCAAAAGATGGACATACACAAATTCAAACAATTCCGGCAATATCAAATTCGGTGGATGTATGTTTAAAAAAAAAATAAAAAATAAAAAATAAAAAATTCCCTTCAAAGAATTTTCCAGCCGTTAAAGCCGTTACTTTTTGTGTTTTTTTTATGGATTTCAATTTCAAGGATTAGGCAAAGAGCTTCATCAGCGATGACGTCTGTGGCTCTTCTTGCTCCTCCTCTCACCCCCTTCTCATCCTCTCTTTCACATCATCATCATCATCATCATCATCATTCTCTCTCGCCACTTCAATTTCACCCCCAAAACCCTAGGCTTCGCATATTGTATTCCTCTAATCGATCACAATCGGTGCGATTCTTCAATCTCTGTCTTTCTTCGATTCCCCATATTTACTTTACCCAACTCCTCATTTTCTTCTTTTTCTGTGTTAAATTTTGTTCAGTTGAAAACCACAGAGATGGATTCAAGACCCGAATACCAGCCCGGAATCTTCGATGACCTCTTTCTTAACTTGTTCCGAAGCCGAATGGTACAGGTGACTCCAATTTCATTATCTCACTACTTGAAATGCTTCACTACCTTCTAAATTGACCGTTTTGTTCTTGGTTGCTATTCAATTTGTTAATGGAGGTTATCAATTTAACTAAATTGATTAAATATGGAAAAAAAAAATAAAGGGTAAAATCGATACAATTGAAACTACAAAGAGCTAAATGGCAGAAGAGACAAAATCATAAGGACCACAGTGTACTTTGCTCCCCAAGAAAAGGAAGAAAGCCATGTGTTGTATAATTGAAAGTTTTTGTATATTCCAGTTTGAGATACTGGGATATCTAACTTGATGAAGGATCTGTTATTTTTCATTTGTTTTACTTTCTTGCATTTTTGCAGCAACCAAACAAAGGTTGAACTTTCCATATGAATTATTTGAGGTTTTTACATGACTGATCTTACAGTTTTGCCCAATTTCTTGCTTTTAAGGGGATATTAACAGGAAGTTGGGTGGGATTCAGAGAAGCCTGGATACAATGGACTAATTGAAGTCACAAACCGTCTTATGATCAGAAGAAGCAATTCTGAAACCAAAGAAGCCGCGGTATTGAGAATGCATCCTTTGTCATGACTATGAATTCATTGCAAGATTTCTTAGTACTAAATTGCAGATTTAGACAAGATGCTATGCTATTATATTTATGTCTCATGGTTTAATCTTTGGTAAGGCTTGTCATTAGTAATTGTTTTGGAATATGGTAGGTGCGGATATTAAGATCGCTGTTTCCTCCATTTTTGTTAGAGCTTTACCGAATGCTCATATCACCTATTCAAGGAGGGAAATTAGCTGCAATGATGGTTGGTGAGTTTATCATTCGTGTAGTATTCCTGGTAGCCTAGTTGATTTTTGTTTTTGTACACTAATTTCAACTTTGTCAATCTACTACAATTTCGTGTAAATCATTTAAATGTTCTTTTTTCTGAAGCAAGGGTGACTGCACTATCTTGTCAATGGCTCATGGGCCATTGTGCTGTTAACTCAGTGGATCTTCCTGATGGATCCTCATTGAGAAGTGGGGTAATGTTTTGAACTTCCTTTTGATATTGCAGTCTGATTTACGTGGAATATTTTCTTTCTGATATTCATTGACATAATTTTTCCCATTCTGTAGGTGTTTGTAGAAAGATGCAAGTACTTGGAGGAAAGCAAATGCGTGGGAATTTGTATCAATACATGTAAGCTTCCTACACAGGTCAGTGCTTGTCAAACTTTCGTCAGCAAAAGTAGTTATGTGCATCTTTTCCTCACTAGTGTTTTGACTGCAGTAATCATGAGAGTGATAACAGAAAGTTAGGGATATCGAGCAAAATAATGCTTGTAAATTTGAGGCAGTTGTGTGTTCCTGTTTACATATGAATGTTGCCTTTAACCCTTGACAGTTTTGGGCAGCCGAGATAGAATTTCAAACTAATATTTCGGTCATGTAGCATATATCAAGGTGCTAAGCAAGCTGCATTATGTCTGTAGAGAGGTTTGAAAAGATTAATTCTCTTCATTTAGATGTTACCTTGATTACAACTTTGGAACCATATATCAATAATTTATACTGTCAGAGCTATATATGCAGGGAGTTTTATTTTATTTTTCTTAAGAAATTAAGGATGCATAGCTAGTGAGTCCCTGATTCTACTCTACTAAGCGTAGGATTATTAGTATGTAGATTTGTTTACTCTCTCTCTCTCTCTCTCTCCCCGGACAGACACATGCAAGCAAACGCACATGAAATAGAAATATGGTAGCTTTTCAATTCTTTGCTTTCATCATAATTGAGTTCTAACTTTGTAAGGTGGTGGTTGTTTTAGACTTTCTTCCGGGATTACATGGGAGTTCCTTTACTGATGGAGCCAAACTTCAGCGACTATAGTTGTCAGGTAACGTTGTTCACTTGTCAAGCAGTAGGCCTGAGAACTTATGAGATATGTGACTTGCATCTGTGATAGCTTTGTTTTTTCGCTTTATGGAGTCAAGTCTACACGTATTTTTTTTTTTTCTTTCTTTCTTCTACATTTGTTTGCGATCATTTTGTTTAAATGGAGGGTAGTATAATCACCTATTGTCTAAATCAATAATCTCACTTGTTGCAATTGAACGGTTCTCCACCGGGATTGAGAGCAGAAGCTGCCCTCTACTTGTTTGAATTCTCTACTAACCGGAATCATCAGTTGAGGAAATTAACATAGTGCTTAACTCACTTACCTCCACCTTAGCAGCTTAACTATCACCACAGGTTCCACCACCATTGTTACCCCAGAGCAAAGTTATCATTGCCACTATCAATACTAACTTACTATAGCCACCTCACAACGTTGACACAAGATTCCTTTCTTCTTCATCTTACTAGGATGGAAAACTATGTATTTATTCAACCAGAAGATTCGAGGAAATCTTCTGTTTCTTGTCATAATATTCAGCAGAATCCAACCTCCCTGTGGCAATCCCTTTGTCTCTTGTTTCAATTACACTTCCAGAGAAGATTCAAATTAGAACAATAGTTTTGACAGATCCTTCTAGTCAATGATAAATATTAGTCCCCTTGTTATGCCCCAAGAAGCATTTTATAGTTTTATTGTGGCAATTATTAACGAGGATTTTTTGTACAACTCCCCTGTTGCGGAAGCATGCATAGTATTTGTCTGTCATATGCTAAAAACAACTTGGCAATGATGTCTTGATAAGATTTTTCTTCAGATTAACTGTTTGGTAAATTCCAAGCTTGAGTGAAGAGTTAGATTCTTTACCTTCTTCCATTGATTTTCCATGTGATTTTAATGTGACAGTTTAAATTTGGAGTGCTTCCACCTCCGGCAGAAGATGATAGTGCCCTGAAGGAGCCTTGCTTAGAGATATGCCCAAATGCCAGTCGACGCAGAGGCAGAGAATTCACCAGTAACGCTGCTGATGTATTGCAATGTCCCAAGGCATGAATATTCAGCATAACTTCCAATCCAATGTCATGTTAACATCTTCTTGGATGTAGTGTATATGCCTATACAGAGACCTTTTATTACAAAATTCCCTCTCAAAGTGATGAAATACTCTGCTATATTGCCACTTGAAATTGAAACATTTATGATCACAATTGCCTTGTTCTGTGCACTGATGGAGAGAGAGCATACAGGTGATACTTTCTTTTACAAAATTCCCTCTCGAAAGTCTACAAGTTCTCTGCTTTATTCTCCAATTTTATTCGAAGAAGGTTGGTGCTATATTGCCACTTGAAATTGGAACATTTAGTCACAATTGCCTTGTTCTGTGCACTGGAGGGAGGTAGGGAGGGAGGGAGAGAGAGAGAGAGAGAGCTTACAGGTGATCTACTTTCTTCTCGATGGAAAAAGGCGGGAGGGGGCGACTAGCACGTGAAAAACCTCCATGGGCTTGACCATATGCCCAAACTGAATGCCGTAAATGTTGATTGCAAGACAGTAAAAACTGTCAAATTTGTGCTCACTCTATTTTTGCCCAAGACTTGTTGTCTTGAAACCCTTTACCCTTTTAATTTTATTCATTATTTTTTTTTTCTTCCCCTCTCCATTACTAGATCAAAGAAGCTTAAAGAAAACTAGAAGTTCACATATGAGAATTTACACTAGCACAAATGCATTTGGTCAACTCAAAAATATCGCAACTAAATTTCTTGGGCACACTTGCGGCTTCATATTCTGAAATTGACATTTTATGATAAAAGATTGAATTTTAAAAATTTCAGACTAAACATTTTGACCTATTTGGCAACCAAATTTTCTTTTATTAGGTTTTAATTTTAGCTCTTTATGAAAGAAAATATTAAAAAAAATCACCCAACCACCCCTAAAAAGTTAAAAAAAAGAAAAAAAGAAAAAAAAAAGTAATACTTGAACAAATAATAAATAGACCAAAAAATAAAAAATGCAGGTGTAATTGTAACTAAAAATACTGTTAAAAATAAAAAATAAAAAAACTGAACTACAAATAAGAATTATATATGCACTGATGTTTCAAACTTGGTGCGACTCCAGAGGTGAACTTTAATCAATTTCGATAAATTAAAAATTACAAATAAGGGAGGATGATTTTGTGCTCCAATTGGGTACCGTACCATCATGAATCCACCACTATAATCATTTTATATTATCATTTTTCATAGATAACTTCGAAAAAGAAATTATCACATCGATTAATAAACTACAAAACAATCTGACGAAACTTCTGCAACTAAAATTTTATGATCTTACACTGAACCAGGTGGAAATTAAAAAGCAACCAAAAAACAAACCAACTTACTGGGCATGGTACAAATACATAAAAGATCAAATTAGAAATCCTCCTAGAAGGTAAAGTTATCCCTCATTTACAAAGCAGATTCTTCGTTCAATGTGAAATTTAACGGTCCCAACCAGAGGATCTCCGCCTTTCTCTAGGTTTATCTCTAGAACTGCAAAAACAATTAAACAAAACAAAAATTAGCAACAAACTGGACATAAGGGTGCAAAACAAACCCAACTACTCAAGCTCCACTCATGTTCAGCTCGTTAAAAACTTGTGCGAAATCAGCTCATTAAATTTTCAAACCTAGCTTGAATAGTCTACTACTCGGCTTGACAAGCATATATATACACAACCCCCTAGAATGTTCAAAATATTGCCCCCCCCCAAAAAAAAAGAAAAAGAAAAAAAAAGAGCTACTCAAGCTTGACTCGTGTTTGGCTCGTTAAAAACTCGTCCAAGATTAGTTCGATATATAAACAAGTCAAATTTAAACACATTCTGAAGCTTGAAAAGTTTTCAAACCAAGCTAAAATAACCTACTACTCGGCTTGTTTGAAGCCCTAATTGGACATAGCAGAGTGTCTATATGACTTACTCAAACAATGCAAGTTCAGGTCAGAAAAGTCACCTTTCGGAGTTCTTCTGACTTGCATTTGCATTTTCCATGGAGCTCTGATTAGTGGGGTTTCCTCCTGACATGGGAGCAGGAGGCGGAGCTGACACATTGGTTGTCCAAGCAGCATTTACATCACCACCAATAGAACCACCAGAAACGAAACCTGGTAACACCATTCTCTTGTTGGCATAGGTGCCTGAACTGTTGTTGTTCATGCCCTGATTTTGAGAATTAGATGAAGCGGACACAAATTTGCTTTTAAATTGTGCCATCATTCCAGTTCTCAGTGAACCGACAGCAACTGAACGATTTGGGACAGTGCTAGATGAAGTATTATTCGAGTCTGCACTATATCCAATGCCCAAACCAAAATCCACACCACGCACGCCTCGACCACTACTACCACCTCCCCTTCCTTTAGCCCTTTTTCCACCTGCACAGGCATTAAAATTAAATAAATAAACAAAGTTCAACTTCTTATCTAGCCAAAAGTTTTCACTTGTCTACTACTCGTTGACAACAGCTCAATCCAAAATAAATGTACTCCTTTTCCTTTTCTTTTCTTTTTTGTTGGTTCGAGGATGAGATCAGAACATGCAGTTGATTCTCAAGCTAAAAGAACCAAATTAGTCAAGCATATGGAGCAATTAATGTGCATTTTATTGCCATATTGAAACTCATACCTCCTTTTCTTGCATCACGCTTGGATCTGAATCTCCCATCCTAGTGATTTACAAGGTAAATGTCACTCAATTATCGTAATATATACAAGCCAAAATCAGCCAACTTCTACAATATCTCAACATATGAAGCAAGAAATATTTAAAAAAAAAAAAAAAATTATGGCCCAAGCATGCAAAATTACCATATGAATCAGTGAAACAGGGAAAGGAAGAAGTCCTGGCTACAAAATAGTGTACTATGAGGAAGTCACTGATAAGGTTAAATTTGTATTTTCTTAATACAATTTCTATTTATCATGTTTAAAAGGAAAAGAAAAGAAGATAAAATACGAAATATATAAAACCATAAGAAGATTGAGGTTGCATGAATTGAAAACAGGAAGGGAGAAAATTATCTAAAAAGCTTTCGCCATGTGCAATGAAGACAGATGAAGGTTCCGGGTTTAGTAATTAGGTGTATTGTTTTAGATTTCTAAGGACGAGGAAAGTCAAAGAAAACAAACTTGAGGTATAAGGAGAAAAAACAAATATATAAAATAAATGATTGCCAAGAATTTAACAGAAAATATGAGCTCAGATGAAACTGAATGGAGGCCACAGGTAGCAAGTATTAAGGCTCACCTTAGTGTGTTAAACACTATTATATATGTATGAATCACGGTTTTCATATTCTACAAATTTGTGGTCAATGAATCTGCAATTCAATCAAACAAATATGACCGAGTATATATGGACACCAAAATCCATGTCTGAATTTATTTATCCATGAACTTTTGGATATTGCCAAATAAAAGTTATTAATATAACCTTCTGACCGCAGGTTTTTCATTTGGACATCAAACTACAAACTTCAAATTCACGATTAAACAAAGCATAATGATTGCCATGGTCACTTCATTTTTTTTTTTGTCATCATTTTTGGCAAAAGGCATCCCAAATGGGATAAGATGAGTTGGCAGGTTCTCACTCTATGTAAACACCCCTCCAATTTAGGCCTAAAATGAACAGATTATGGTTCATGTTGGTCACCTACAAGTTTCAAACAAAAAAGAAATAGAGATGCAGTGTGCATCACTGACATTTACACGTCGCATCTTTAAAATATAAACAAACAAAAAAACAAAAAACAGAGCAAACAAGCTCAGCAAAGAAGAAAACAGATCAAGCAAATTACCTTCATAGCAAGATCCATCAGTTCCGCAGACACATTCTGACCAGCAGCAATCAAACTGTTAACCAATTCACCTGCAAACCTTGCCTCTTTCTGTGTGATAAGAGTGTATGCGGTACCATCTTTGTCACCAGCACGGCCTGTTCTTCCAATTCGATGGACATGCATATCCATGTCTCTAGCTATATCAATGTTGACCACTGACTTAATTGACTTAATGTCAAGGCCACGAGCAGCAACATCAGTTGCAACAAGAACATGGTATATTCCAGATTTAAATTTTTGCAATATATCCATCCGAGAAGCTTGGTCTTTGTCACCATGAAGAGCTGCAACTTTAAACCCCATCTGAGCCAGTTGTGATTCAATCTCATCCACTCTAGCCTTTTTTGAAGCAAAAACTAGAACATCGCCATTATCAATTAGTTCAGGTAGTCTTTCAAGAAGCCAAGGCATCTTTTCAGCGTCAGAAGGAACTACTTGAACAACTTGAGTAATATCCTCGTTGGCCATTCCCACCTCTCCCACAGTAACTCTTACAGGATCAGTGAGAATTTCCCTGGCTAACTTTTCAACTTTGCGGGCCATTGTCGCTGAAAATAGTAAGGTTTGACGATCTGGCCTAATCTGACCAACGATGGACCTTATTTGTGGCTCAAATCCAAGGTCAAACATCCGATCAGCCTCATCTAGTACTAGGTAAGATGCTCTGAACATGGTCAGTGCCTTCATTTTTAGCATGTCTATCAATCTTCCAGGAGTAGCAACAACTATCTCGCATCCTGCCTTGAGCTCTTTGAACTGTTCAAGCTTGGACATTCCACCATAGACTGCAGAGACACGTATACCATGTGATTTTGCAAATTTCTTTGCCTCTAAATATATCTGATGTGCCAATTCTCTAGTAGGTGCACATATCACTCCAATGGGACCCTCCTCTTTCTCAAGTTCAGGCTGATCCATAATATGGACAATCATAGGAAGCACAAAAGCAGCAGTTTTTCCCGAACCAGTTTTTGCAATACCAATGATGTCTCTCCCAGAGAGCACAATGGGTAAAGCTTGGCACTGTATTGGCGTAGGCTTTTCATAGGCTTGCTTTGCAATAGCTTTCATTAGCTCCACAGAAAATCCACCCTCTTCAAATGTCTTAATTGGCCTTGGAACATCAAAACCGGAAACACGAATAGCCAGGCTGTTCCTGTATTCAACAACATCCTGCTCACTCATACCTGCATTGAGGGTTGAAAAAGAAAATTTAAAAATGTTCAGCAAGTATAAATTTATAATTAACTCAAGGAAAAGCATCCATAAATTGAGCCGAAGAACAAGAGAAAACAATCGCTCTATGATAATACGAACAACCAAAAAGAATGGCCATGGCGTAAAAGGTTAGATAGCTAGGGTTCAAATGTAATTGGGTAGCATAACAATAGTAACTTAAATAATCAAATCAGATACATAAAGAGAGACTTTTTCATTCAGCCATAGAGATATATCTATTAGCTGCTAACCAAGACGTTGAAGATTGAAGCTATTATATTTTTCAGTATTGCTTGTAAAAACCAAAAATGTATATATATACAAATGCCTGAATGATCAATGTGCTACGAAATAATTTAGCAATCAATGTCAGTCCATCATGGGTGAGATTCAAAAGTTTCTGGCCAAACTGAATGCCAAGCATTCAATCATCTTCACTCGAAAGGCATAATAACAAAGCAAGAGTAAATAGCCCAGATAGTTTATATTGTTCAAGTAATCTTGAGGACATAGTCCAGTTATAGCTCAGAGACATTAATTATTCATAAAAGTCCTCCAAAAGTAGATTGAGCTTCACCGTTATATTTTGCAAGGAACAACCATGACAAAGCACCTTGTCCGTGAGCATCATGAATGACAAGGTGATATACGGAACAAAAAAATTCCCCACAAAAGTCATCTTCTGCACCCCTAACTCTTTTTTTTTTTTTTTGGGGATTTGCCTAACAAATCTTTGCCAAACTCAATCGATCATAAATCTTACTAGTAGTCTATACTGGCAGCACAGAATTCTTTTTAATATGACTCACAAAAAGGTTCTTATTAGTAGGAGTCAGAATTTCATTACAAAGTTTTTATAAAATTTTATATTATTTCTTATACAACAAATTTTAAAGGGTTGTCCTAGTTGAGTGATCTAAATATGTTACCATGGTAGATAGGATGAGCTGAAAAACATCTATCTGTTTATAGAGGCTCCCAGAAGCTTGTAAATAACTTACTGAAAAATTAGAATTACACAAAAAAAGACATGATGACGACTTAAATATTCTGTCAGCATGGCTTTACTGTGAGTGCATGAATGCAGGTGTGTATGTGTGACTCCAAGCCGGCCCACATTAATGCTCCCGATCTTACCCCTTTCATTTTAAATATTGATTTTTTTTTTCTCTTTCATTAATGCACGCAGGATAAAACCTAGGTTTCTTTAAAAATTGTCAAGCATACTTTCAAAGAAATGAGAGAAATAAAAATTTTGGTATCCGACACCAAATTCCATAAACTAGCTTTCATAAAACGGAAACTCAATCATCTTTTATGGAAATAATTTTTTCCACTCCAAATGGAATTTGAACAATTAAGATTGTGCCCTCAAAAAGCCTTTGCATCTATCCAAGCTAGTTTTCCTGTAAGTAAAAAAATTATATTAGAGAAAGTGCCAAGGTTGTCCCAACTGAGATGTGACATGGATGGACAACCGTCCACAAATCCCCCTCTACCTCTCAATTATCATCCAAACCAAACCTCTACTTTGCTTCCGTTGTTCTCTCTTTTTTTTTTTCTTTTTTTTTTTTTTTTTTTAAACCCTTTTTCAGAAGAAAAACATCTTTCTCAAAATCTATCAAAGGAAACATAACAAATTTGCCCAAATCTTAACCCTCTCCCTCCATAACCCACTACTCCAATGCTTCTTACTACATACCCCTTCATAAGCACAGAAGTAGGAGAAAGTGTCCAAAACCATTACTTTTAGTAGGAAACTTCAGTTGCCAAACAACAAAAGTTATCCAAAACCCATTCTCACAAGCTAAAAATATAAATGGGCAGGAGGATGTTCCACCACATACTGTTAGATTTGATCTAGGTCAAGCAAAAAATTTACTGAAACAAAATATATATATATATATATATATGATTTGATTAGTTCTACCTGAGATAGAAGGTGTTTCCTCATAGAAATCCTTATTAATCGGCTCATACTCAATCGAACTATGGTCCAAAGCCGGAATCGGCTCAATCTTATTCTTCCCAAGCACAATTGGATTGTCATCGGAATCGTACTCTACCATTCCAGCATCAACCGCCTTGGCAGCAGCATAAACTTCCTCATCCGAATCATACCCAGCATGAAGAACATCCGACGCGAGTGTCAACCCTACATCCTTCTTAGCCTTCAAGAAACTCTCCATCGGATCATCATCCTCATCGTCGCTATACTTCTCCAACTTCTCGTTCACCTTGGGAGGCTGCGCCGCCTTCATCTCCTCATGAATCCCCTCCATAAAAGCATCAAGAGGATCGATTTCATCATCACCGCCACCATCGCCGCCTTCGTCGGCGGCGTTTGAAGGCTCGCGGTCGTCGTAATCGATGTTGTCTAGGTCAGTATCTTCGTAGTTGTCGTGGCCGCCGGAGCGGGATGAAGGAGGGACGTAGAGTCGCTGTGGAGGTTGAGAGCGTTCGAAGTTGTAGGTTGTTTGGCGATTGATGCCGAAGCCTTCGAATCCGAACTTTCTCTTTGACATACCTGTGATTGAAGTTATTGGAAAAGAATGAAACCCTAGATTGATTGATTGATGATGATGAGAGTAGTGTCTCTGATTAAACCCTAATTTGGGTATTTCATGGAAGCAAGAAGGTTAATAAGGTTGTGATATATATATATATATAGGGATGTCGGAACTCAGAGAGGAGTGTGATGCCAATGACCTGAGAGACCTGAGAGACCTGAGAGAGATGCTGGGAATCGGGGAGGCAGTGGTCGCATATATGCTGCGCATTGGGTTTTTTATTTTTATTTTTATTTTTGTGATCATGAAAGAAAAAAAACATGAAACATAAAAATTAAAAAATATATATTAAAAAAATTAAAAATAAAAAAACTGGAGTTCGTTAGCTTTGAATTTGGCTAAATTAAGTTTTGTTTGGAAAGATTTTTTAAACAACATTTAGTACCTAAATTCACATTGCCTCAATTTAAAAATCAATTTCAAAATTCATTACCAAGCATATAACTTAAAATTCAATTTAAAACTCATCTCAAAACACTTTTTGATGATATAGTGTTGAAAATGGTTAGTGATGGGATTGTTGAATTATTTTTATAAAAAATTTTAAAAAATAATTTATATATTTAAAAAATATCTAAAGTAGATATATATTTTTTCAAATAATAGGTTGCAATTGTAACAAAAATAAAAAATAAAAAATACACTATTTCGATCAACCAGCCAGACGTCTAGGAGGACGATTAGAAGTATATCCGGGCGAACGACCGGGAAGACCCAATCCGCTCTTTTTAAAATTTAAAATTCAAAAATTACTTTTAAAACTCATAACTAAACAAATTTTCTATTTTCAAAACTTAACTCACAATTCTATACTTACAATTCCAAAACTAAACCAAACGCAACCTAAATTTTTTTATTTTTTTGCTTTTTTATGAGAGAACAAATAAACTAATTATGATTTGAATGTGACATTTTAGATTGTTTTGAGAAATAGATTAAAAGTTGATTTTTTATTTTTTTAAAAAAAAATGTGTAAAAAAATAAAGAAGTGATGTGATCCAAAAGAGGTTAAAAGCCAAAAATTAACTTTTAACCTCTTCCCAAAAGAGGCCTTTATCTTAGGAAAATTTACCTATAAATTCCATCTTGAGGAATGGTGATCCATTTAGTCTTAAGGATTTTTTTATAAACCAATTAGTCTCATTGATTTTGAAAACGTAGATTTAATATATTATTTAAAAATTAGATTTACAGTTATACCTTTATTTCTATTATGTTCCTTCTCTTTTTTTTTTCTTCTTTTGTGCTAGAAAGGTAAGATACATAATATATGATAATCAAATTTGAGATGAATTTTTATATAAAAATCTTTTTTATTTGGAAAACATTTCAAAAGAAATATAAAAATGACTTAAAATATAGGATTCTTCTAATATTTCCAAAGGATGTGGAATTTTTCAAACATTTCAAAAGAAGTATAAAAACTACTTAATAAGTTTTGGCCAAATGTATAATTTCAAACTGTAATACTCTAAAATAACTGTGACGCCCCAAAATTTAAGGACATCATAATAGGATTTAGAACTTAAAACCAATTTTCATAATTAAAAATTCCTCATCAATGTTGCCACCAATATTACCAGCATCTATTAATTAACAACCCAGAGATTAAAAGTTCTTAAATTACAACTCTAATAAAGTCTTAAAACTCAGTCTTAGTACAAAAAAAAAAAAAATACAAATATAAAAAGAGGACCCAAAAAAAAAAAAAACTTAGAAAAAAGGTTCACGGAACTCAGGTACTCTTCAAGCTAACCAAGGTTGGATGTCGCCTTGCAAAGTTTCAGTGTTTCCTTTGGTTTTTTCGGTACCTAGCATAAAACGCTAGGGCAACGGGAATGCCAATGAGTGACGAGCTCGATAAGATACTACAACCCAAAAATACCCACCCCAATAATAATACTCACAATTGATGAATATTGTGTAGTAACAGAGTAACAAGCAACGTTTAATAAGTATAACAGGAATACTATCAGTTTAAATAATAACAAAAGATAATAAGAACAATGGCAAACGGAAGCAGTATTTCATCATAAGGAAAATGTCAACTTTTCTTTTAAACTCTTATAGATTTAGTTTATTAATTAAGTTTAAATAACTCTCCGTGGAGCACTATTTCCATTCAACTACTAAGCAATGGGCATGGGCAATTCTGACTCCCTCTTGGTCAAATGTTCAAATGTTAACATAAAATAGCTTATTGTTAAGAGGTACCATAAACTAATTAATAAAGGCCCCGTTTGGGATGAGCGTTTGGACTAAAATAGTCATATATGACAAAATAGGCTCTTTTAATTAAATAACATAAAATGTCATAATCATCCCATAATCATTTCATTTTTTCTCTCACAAAAATTAAAAAATTTAAAAAGTTTATCCCAAACGATGTTTTTTAGCCTTTGGCTAAAATAACTAAAAAGTCAAAAAGTCAATCTACATTCCAAACAAACCCATAATGGAGAGAGAGAGAGATGGCTTTGGCATTGAATGATGTTAGATTTTGTTTTTGGAATTTTATATTTGTAGGATGACATTAATGAGTCATGGAAGAAGAAACAAAAAAAGGATGACCATTGTATGGTCCTTTTGGTCATTGGCATGTTGCATTGCATTAACATTTCATTTATTTACTACATTATTATTATTTTTTTAAACAACATTTAGTACCTAAATTCACATTGCCTCCACTAATATTAAAAAATATAGATTGTGTTTGGTTTAATTATTTAAATGAGTTTTTATTTGTCTTTAATAATTTTTTTTTATATTTAATTAATTTTTGTTAAATACAACAAAATTAGATACATCTTCTTATGTTGTGACATTTATTTATTTGTCTTGCAAAAATCAATAAAAGTACTCTATATTTTAAGTTTTCAAAAATAATTTTTAAATTTTTAATTCATTTTTTAGTAAATTTTTTTAATATTGTAATTAAGTTTTTAATTTTTTTGATTTGGCTCAAGTAGATATGAAAATTAAAAAACTAAACAAATAAATAAATATTGGTTAAAAAAATAAAAACGTTCACTATAAAAAAATATATGAATTGAAAATTCAAAAAGCTACACTTGAAAACTCTAATCAATAAAAATTGAGGGCTTCTAAATGCCCCTACCTTTCTATTGTAGATCTCTTGCTTCTTTGGCCTTCCATCACAAAAATTGCTTCCCTCTTTAATTTTCTTTTGACCCCTACCATAATCTCAAATATACCCTTTGAACCTCACTCGTACACTTTCTACTTGTAACTCCTTATTCTCTTCTTTGGTAGTCCCCTTTCTACTCTGGCGCCCCTCTCTCTCCGGCCAACTAGTTTGGAATAGTATCCTCAAAGATAAATTTATTCCTTGTGGTCTAGATTTGATCATTGAACAATGGCCAACAATGATCATTCAACAAAACTTCAATGTCAATAATTATCAGATTTGATTCAAATCTTTGACATATATATTCAGAGTAAAATTGTCTAGAAAAAAGAAAAAAAAAATATTAATCTGTCTTTTATGAAGAGCACGCTTCTTGTTCAGGAGGTTTAAGAAATAAAATAGTTTAGATTTTCCTTTACAAAGTAACATGTTGGGCATAGAGAATTTTGGAAAAATTTCCCTAATATTGTTGACAAATACTGACTTTATTTTTTATTTTTGTCAAATAAAAGAGCATGATTTTATTGATAGAAATAAGACGTGCAACTAAAGACGCCATCATCAACCCATTGTTAATTGGAATCTCATATTAGAACGATTTGGTGCAATTTATGGGCTACTTAGTATAATTTTCTTTCTTTTTCTTTTTCTTTTTTTTAAAAATTTGTACAAGAATTTTGGTGTCACTTTTTCTTACATTTCATAAGAAAAAAATAGCTTGAATAAAATGAAAAAAAATATAATTTTTGAAAAACAAAACAAAAAAGTAATTTTAATTTATATTTTTTGATTATCCAGTTTCAACATGTTAAAATCTGCACCAAACATAGTGATAATAGTCTTCAATTGAAACAGCCTTAGCTACAATTCTATTTTATTGTGTTGGTTTGGGATATAAAATCATGTGATTAGACTACGTATCTAGTCAATTCTTAATTCCATTTTCGGATATAAAAATGGGTCTTTAAAAAAATGTATATTGATGTATTATTTTTGTATCCTTTCATTTTCAGCTGAAATACCAACTAGCTCATTGATGGAACTAAATCAATAAATTTTGAATCTATAATTGATTTTACTATGTTGTTTGTTTGATATCCTATATTCTTTGTATAGTGGACAAATATATAAACATAAGGATAGTACCCAAAAAAAAAAAAAAGAAACAAAAAATCACTTATATAGAATATGATTTTGGAGATTTATATCAATTCATTTTAAACTATAAGACCTAGCTTTTTATTTTAAAAATATCATGCAAATTTGTATCAGTGATTTTAAACCAAAAACCTAACTTATTATTTAAAAAATGTCATTATCATATATTGATGCATTTTATCTATGTCAATGACATTTTTAAAATAATAAATCAGTTTAATATTGGTCTCTTTTTTTCTTTTGAAATGAACGAATTCAAATCTATGACATTATTTGGTACAAATTTTTATTTGTATATCAAAATTTTTCCTTTTTTTTTTTAATTTTATGAAACCAATTCTTGGCCATACTCTTTCATGCTTGTCCATCCTTTTGGTATTTTAATGGTTCTTCAGAAGTTCATATTTCATATTGCAACTTCTTTTAACTTGACAAAATTAAAAGACTTATATTGATCATTAAACACTAAATAATTTGGGGCTAATTAGTCAAACTAACTGAGGTCTAATTCACATGAACTAGTTAGTCACACAAAGATTTGTGTGCTCATAATAAGGTTTAAATTTTTTATAACTATATAACACTACAAGAAAATACACTTTTGGTGACACTTTTGCCAACTAAAAATATTTTGGTTGCCAAAAGTTGTGGAATTGGCAACCAAAAATTATATTAGTCGGCAAAAGTACAATATTTAGCTACCAATTTTTTTTAGTCAGGGTATATTGATTATTGGCGACTAAAAAAATATTTTAGTCGTTGTATAGTTTGTTTTGGCTACTAAAATTGTTTAGTCGCTGAATGAAAAACAAAAATTAACTTTTTATTTTTGGCGACCAAAAACTTGGTCGCCAAATATTTATTTTCAGTGA